AATAAAAGATGTTCACTTGACCAGTTTTCTGCAGTGTGCTGGTGACGACATTTTGCTTCTTTGGCGCTGCGGCTCACAGGAAGGCTGCCGAGGTTCCCAGCAACCTCAGGCAGCCGGTTCAGTTAAAAAATGTAAAGCTCCGGTATTTAGTATCGGGCCCTTACAGGAGTACTCAACAAAACGTCCAGTATCAGCACCAATACCGGTGTCAGTGCATCCCATGTCAAATGCCCATCAACACAGACCCTAGAGCAGCTGTTATTTGTGACCCTAGGCAAAAAAAACAAGCATTTAACCCTCGCAGTGCTGGGGTCACCTCCACCGCAAAGCTGAATAAAATAATACACCTCAGTCAGAGTGCCAATTGAGCGTGACCCAGAAAAAAACACATCGGCGGAAGCTGGGCATTAAGGCCCACCCACCACGCTGCCGCATAAGGAGGTTAGTGAGCAGTCTGGACTCCTTTAACCCTTTCACTGCCGGGCTAGCCCCACAAAGGTTAACCCCCCTTTAACTGCTTGAAGACCAGGTGTTTAGACCCCCTTCCCATCCAGGCCATTTTTCAGCATTCAGCGCTGCGGTACTTTGACTGAAATCGCAGAAAACTACCATACCCAAAATTGGCCATAAGCGACGCTTTAAAAGCTTTTACCGCTCATCAGTTTAGTGTCATCAGTGATTGATGGCCCTAGACTTATTGCTCTCACTGCGACGTTCGCGGCGATATGCAACATGTGCGGCGTAATCGTCGTTTTTGCACGTATGCGCCCCCCGATGCATGTTTGCATGCGTGTATGTATGGGTGGGGACTTTAAAAAATGTTTTTTTTGTAAATTCTTTTTTTATGTGCAACTTTAAATTTTGGGGGGACTTAAATTTTTTTCCCACTAAACTTTATTGCTATCACATACGGAGGCTAATAAAACCCCCCTATGCGATAGCAAAATATGCGACAGGTCCTCTTTTTTTTATTTATTTTTTTACAGGGGAAAGCGCGAACGCAGTCATGGAGACATCAGGGGTCTCCAAGACCCCTAATGTCACCTAGGATTCCCCCAAAAGAAGCTGATGAAGCACAGATCTGCTCCATCAGCTTCTGAAGCTGGAGAGTGACACAAGAATGCGGAAGTGATGTAATATACAACACTTCCGCCGGCCCGGAGGTAGATAACCCAACACCTTGCATGAAAGTTGTAGCTGGGCCCGAGGAGGTCTGTACACCAACGATGAGACAAACGGGTCAGTACCTCATCAACATCCTTGGAAGATTTCTTAGGCTGCTTTAAGGGCTTCTTCTTACCACCTGCAAGACAAAAACATAAAAAGGTTCTTTAATTGGCATTGCAACTTTATAATCTGCAGCTTTACACCGGGGGTCAGGCCGTGTTTATATCAGGGGCAGGCAACCTGGGCATTCCTGGTGTCCCGAGACTACAAATTCCATCATGCTCCTGTCTCTGGGAGTCATGCCTGTGGCTGTCAGAGTCTTGCAGTGCCTCATGGGATTTAGGATTTGTAATTTCACATCAGCTGGAGTGCCCTGGTTCCCTACCCCTGGTTTATATCCTCCAAGCTGTCTTTGGCCATAGAGAGTACAAAGGAGAGATTGACAGGTCAGCGGTCTCTATGGTCAGCGTTAGCGCATGCATACTACTACAGAGGCTGTAGGAGGATTTCATTTGCATGCGCCAATGCCATCTATTGTCAACTGCACATTCCAGCCCAGCCTCTGGCAATTGTAGTACCCTAGTAGCTGGATGCAGCCCCAATACACAATGGTGTCACCGCTGCCCTACCAGAAAAAACACCCCACACCCCTTTGATCACCCCGCAGATACAGGATGACACCGGATCCCGCTACCCCCAGTTAAATTACACACCTTCTCTTCCAGACATCTTTTCCGCTCGGCTAAGCGAGGACCCTTTTCTGCACCGGAAATATGCGTCCACGTAAATGCCTGAACCAATTTCGGGCTTCCGCCTTCAAGCTTCAAAATGCGATTACACTCAATGTAAAGCGTCACCTATTCCGACAATGAATATATTAAATTAATAAGTGGCGTTTGCGTGGGGATTACAAAAAAAAAAAGGCACCTCACGGTCGGTCATATATCTACGCCCATACATTGGGATTGGCTGAAGCCCCCGGATGCAGGATCGCCGCCATATTGGTATACCAATGGGTTGATTGCAGCGGATGCAGGGGCGCGGTCATATTGCTACACCAGTACTTTGAGATAGTGGAAGCCGAGCGTAGCCATATTGGTACACCAATTGAGAGGCTGCACATTGACTTGGCCCTTTTGGTTCCTCAGCTTAATGTCTTTCTCTGAAGGAAGGATGTGTTTGGCAAATTTTATACGCAGAATGCTGCAGAAAAAGGTTACAGTGCTACCATGCCTGCATTTTTTTAATTTGCGATCTCTGGGTACAGGAAGTATGGGCGCCGCCATCTTTGTACACCCAATAATAGTAGGAAGTCTGGAGAGTGCAGTGTAACCCTTCTGTCATTCGGATGAAGTGAACTGTGGACGGGCTTACATGACTGAAGAATGACCCAGGGACAATTTCTGATGGTCAGGTAACAGAGCAGTGTGTTATATCATGTACAGGAAAACATGAAATTTTGTTATTTAGCTATAAACTTTAAAGGGCACCTTCTTTTTTCCCCACCATGTCTTTTTACCTTATTATCATGTTTTTATTTGTGTGACTCATTAAAATCAAAATAGAAGCTGCACCCCTCACAGTACTTGACCCTTAAAAAAAATAATGGGTGCTTGAAGTGACATCCTGGCCCAATCAGCTGTGGCTGGGGCATTCCTCACCCCTCGGCTACATTTCACAATGAGGGGCCCCTGCAGCAGCTGATTGGGTCGGGATAGAGGTATGTCAGTGAAGGATTTGCAGGGGCTTGGTGTACTCTGTTCTCACCAAGCCCCCGCACATCACTAACAGTCATCCAAACAGTTGTTCCAAACTTCTGGCCTCTACATGGGTCAGAGTTCTCTTCCCGATTCTGTGTAAGATAGAGGATAGAACAACCGCCATAGCCACAAAACTCGCCATTTGTGCTGTACTCCAGCACTCTACTGTCAAGAGGTCCAGAATGTGCAAAGGACCGTGGTGATTTTGATAACCCAACAAATAAGGATTCACCGATAATAGTATTGTGCCGATACCGAGTATTTGGGCGAGTACTCGTACTTGCCCAAATGGTCTGATACCTTCCCCGATACCGGAACTTCCAGTCAAAAGAAGATTTCCACTGACCAGCAATGCTGTAGGGGAACATGGAGCTGACTTCCCAGGCTATCAGGAAGCTGGGCGGTGAGTAATGACCAGCTGGCTCCTTACTGATTGGCTGGGAACATCGATCTGGCTTCTAGGCCAATCAGGAACCTGGGAGGCGGGTCATTACTCGCTGACCACCTTTACTGATTGGTCGGGAAGCCGGTTCCATGCTGATTAGCTAGGTAGCCGGTTTCCCCTGCCAATCACAATAGATCCAGCTTCCCGGGAAATCAGGAAGCCGGGTGGCATGTCATTACCTGCCGCCCGGCTTCCTGATTGCCCGGGAAGCCGACTCCATGCCAGCGAAGGCACTGGTATCGGTTCTCAGTATCGTCGAGTACTGAAAGCAAAATGTTGGTACTTGATATTGAAAAAACGCTATCGGTACATCCCTACCTCTGGTACAATCTGTTTTTATTTGAGCGTTTCAATTCACATTACAGATCACAATAGACATGCTTGCATAGATAACATCCATAAAACAAATGATAAAAGCAGAAGTATAAACGAAAAGGAATTACTCCCCGCGGGGAACATCTGAGTGCCCAGGTAAGATATCACATGTCACAGTCAAACCCGGGACCAATACCGTGGTCCTACAGTTCATAGCGAGTAATGTGCAGGGGCATCCCTACCTCTAATGATTCCCCTACAATGAGCCTAAGTATATCAGGGACCAGGTAACCTCAATCCACCCCGTTCTGACAGCGCTGAACCTGGATGTGCTCAGAGCTCAGCATTTCCTGGTTCACACCACACAGGACTTTCCCATTGCTAATCTTCTGTTTTTATGGTTCTAGGCTCCCCAGAGGATTGGGGGAGCTACTTCAGCCATGAACTTGTTTCAGTCCTTCGATTGCTAGGATGTGTAGGCCAGGTCCGTGGCAGTCAAAGGGTTAAATTAAAGGCCCACGTTAGTGAAACATACTGGAGGGAATTTATTAAAACTGGAGCAGACAGAATCAGAATACCTCTGGGAAGAGTCGCTTCCCTAGTTTACCCCCCTCCGTCCTTGCACATCATGGCCGTCCTCTCTTTTGGGAGTGACATTACTTTCTGTGTTGGCCCACCTCCTTCCCCCCCTACCCTTTGCCTCCCTACATAACTTTTTGTAGCTGCCAGGGGAGGAGCTAGGGTTGCCCCCTGTCCAAATTCACCTGGACAGTCCGGGTTTCGAGTCCTGTATGTGCTGTGTCCGGGTTTCAGGCCAGCTGAAACCCAGACACAGCACATACGGGACTCAAAACCCGGACTGTCCAGGTGAATCCGGGACAGGTGGCAACCCTAGGAGGAGCGAAGGGGAATACAATAGAGTGTCACTTGAGTGACAGCTCTGAGGCTGCTTGACATCACATCCAAGATGGCGGCGCCCAGAGGCAGCCTCAGGGCATTTGGATGTACACACAAGGGAATGTTTTACAGGTAATTACAATGAGTGCACATCTACTCTTATGGGAAGATTTTTGTTGAAATGAATGGTCTGCAAAAGTCAACAGGGTCTCTTTAAAGTCCGTCCAAAAACGACCTTGTCCACCAGGTGACAACACTGCTCTACTTAGAAAAACAAAGATGGCCGTGTTCATGTCAGTGGCAGACTGCAATATATATTATTATATTATATTATGTCATTTTTGATTTTTTAAGTTATAGTGAAACTATAAATCTATGAAGAGAAAGACAATAACTTGCCTCTGTTTTACTTGCAGGTGTTGTATAATTCCATAGACTCTCAGGATGAAGCACCTCTGTGTCCCCCGGGGTGTAATTATCTCTACGAGACCTTCTCTGCATTCCCTTCTTCTAACAAGTAGCGTTCCCCATCTCCGCATTAGGACTTTTTGTGCTTCTGCATCTAAACCTCCCGACACCAACCTCCCTGTGGAGGATCGGGGAGTGAGACCCTTGCAGCGATGGAAGGACGCGGGGAACATGATGGGCAGAAACACCATGCAGGCGGTTTCCACCACGGCCAAAAACTGGTGGGACCGATATGAAGAGTTTGTGGGAGTTGTGGAAGTTCGGGAAGCTCAGGGAAAAGTAGCACAGGTGAATTCCTTTATTGCATCATTGATGATCTCACTCCAAAAGGAGAGCCAGCCAGTCGGGTCACTGTGCTTCAAAACACTCTGAGGGGAATTGATCAGAATCTGGAGCAGTTGCCCATGGCAGCCAATCAGCTTCTGTCTTTAGTTTGTTCCCCTATGATTTGAAATGAAAAAATGAATGAGAAAGAGAGAAGCTGATTGGTTGCCATGGGCAACTGCACCAGATTCTGTCTGCTCCAGCTTTGATAAATTCCCTTCTCTGCTGTCGTTTTGTTCACCTGGGGCAAAGTGATGGAGTCTCTTGCACGACTAGCACCCCAACCCACCTATATTCACTCCCCATCTGTTCTATTCCTGCGTCAGAGCCAGGAGGTCCAAACCTTGTGTAAGCTTCCTGTCTTGACTCAACAACCCATTCTGCTTCCCCTTCGCAGTAGTGGATCCTGAGCTCCCCCTGCACAGGTGATTGGGCAGCTCAAATTCCCCTGCTCCACCCTCCCTGCTGTGAATCAACAGCTCAGCTCACTCTACACCCCCTTTCAGCAGTGCCACCTCGGCTCCCCCCTCACCGGTGATTCAGCAGCTCAGCTCCTCCTGCTCTGCCCTACCTACTGTGAATCAACAGCTCAGCTCACTCTGCCTTCCCCTCACAGCAGTGACTTGGCAGCATCTCTCCTAATGCTCCCCCCTCCCAGCAGTGACTCACAATCTCAGCTCTCTCTGTCCCCTCTTCCCAGCAGTATTAATCAAAAATAGACACAAATTTGAAAAACATTTTTTTGTTTATTCGTACAATATCCTGTGTCACATATTCTATCCTCAGGCAGAGAAAGACTTCATGGTGGCCCGTGGGATAGTGCGAGAGGCCCGCGAGAGTGTGGAAGGCCAGCAGGTTAAGCTGAAGGAAGTACGGGATCGGCTGGACCGAGTGTCTCGGGATGATGTGCAGTACTTGGAGCTGGCCACTCTGGAGCATAAACTACTACAGGTACAGCATAGCACTGGGATGCCCCCTTGGGTGCTCAGTGACCCCCCAGGATTGGAGCCAAAGTGTATTTGAATTATTTTAAAACCTCAATAAGGGTGAAAAAACAGGTTGTGTATTTGTTACCTTGTGAAGTAAGATATACTCGACTTAGTCTGCCCCTTGGGGTGCGGGGGACCACTAATCCAGCGCTGCAAATGTGCCCAAGCCGGCTGGTCCCCTTCCACTGACGTCACTCCTCAGAGAGGAACCCGCTGCTGAATAGTCAATAGGAAGTGTCCACGTCATGCAGGAAGTAATGTGAACACTTGAAGAAGGATCCCACCTCCTGCACACAGAAAGGGAGAGAAGATTTGGGACTGGAGCGTCACCTGACCACAGCTTAAAGTAAGTAAAAGGCCCCATGCACATTTTGGGGTGTACAGTGTAAATGTGGACTTTGTTCCTGTGCCCGGGATACACAACTGGTGTATATAGACGCTCATGGATATGAATGGCTGTATGTGGGTATATGGCAGTACTGTCCTAAACCCACATGTGGTATACAGGCCCCCAAACGCAGAGCCCAGGCTGTATGCACCAGTTGTGTGTCTCAGGTACAGAAAAAAGCCAGAATTTATGTTGTGCGCCCCTAACGGCCCATTCACACCCAATGCCTTGGGGCTGTGCTGGGTGATTTTTCCAGCGTAGCCGCATTGCCTTGTCCCTTATGCGCTCAGTTCATACCACTGTGTTGCTTTTTGGTAGTGTGCGCTGAAAAATGACGGCATGCAGTACTTTTTGTTGTTGTTGTTGTTGTTGTTTATTTAGCGCACCGCAGTGTTATGTGGTACAGCCCATGGAACCTATAGAACATAAAGTGACATTGCAGTCACAAATCCGCCCCTCCCTGCTGCTTTAAGGACTTACCTTAAATAATTCCTCTTGATCCAATCATCTTCCTTGTATTGGTGAGTCCCTCCAACGCTGGTGCCGGTCTCTGATCCAGCGCAGACTCCTCGGGTCCCACAGTGTCTCTCCGATGTGCACGCTCCCGGCTGCGTGTATTCATCTCCACTTTGTCTCTTCTCCGCCGAAAATCTCTACTGCGCATGCGCCCGCCCCATCACTCTGCACGGCTGCTCGGAAAGCTTCAGATGGGAGCGGGCTGCGGAGACACAGGTAAGTTTTTGGTAACTTTGGTACTGCTTGCTAGCAGTAATTCTATGCAAAAACAAAGGAGAGTTTAGTTCTACTTTAAAGGAGAACTATGAGATGAGTGCTTTTCACTCACCTCATAGTTCTAGCCGACCTGTGACAATGAGACTGTCACAGGTCGGCTCAGTAGATCGGGAGGTGAGCGAACACATACCGGGTTCCCTCACCTCTCGATCCTGTCAGCTTGCGGTATACTGAGCTTAGGGTAACGGGAGGACGCTAGTTTGTGTCCTCCCGTTACCCTAAGGAGAACTATGGGGAAAAACACTGACCCCATAGTTCTCCTTTATTGAAATATCACTGGAGAAGAGGAGACTGAGGAAATGCTTCTTCCTGCCTGCAGCAGACCAATGACATCACCTCTTCTTGTTGCTGTATAATGTGACATGTCCCTATTTTATTCATGTAGACTAGTAAAGTTACTAAAGTCTACTTCATATGTTCCATGAATGATCCATTTTTCTTTTTGTGTATCTGTAAGGGGAGCTCTCGTCGTATAAGTAAATAATAGCATGAGAGATTTCCCCAGCAGCCCGTGTGTTCCACCAAATCCCCCGACACATCAGTTATTACCAATCTTAATTCGTGAACTATTTTGCTTTTCATTGTTTGAAGGGAAGAGAAGGGCAAGCCTGGGGGGGGCCCTGGGGGTCCATGTAAAATTAGACAGAACGGTTTGTAAAACTGATTTTGGATTATCTGGGGAGATACAGATCTTCTTGTGACGTTTTCCTTCTCTCGGAGGTCTCTCTGAAGGAAAGGCGGTGAGTCAGTCTCGGATACGTCGTCTATTAATCACATTTATTCCATCCAGGCCATAGCTAATCTGATCAGCGGTCTCATGTCCAACATGTGTTCTGTGTTCCCAGCTGGAAAGTTATTAATCAGATCCTAATGGGACGAGCTGCAGGCACACGTTAACCACTTAGATGCAGTCCCATGCCAATGATACCTCTGATCTGTGATGTGTTATATGCTGAGAAGTGATTTTGATGGGGCAACATTGGTCTATGGAAAGGATTAGTTCATTTAAAGCTGAACTCCAGGCAGATATAAAATGATAAATGAATGCCGCACTCTCATCATTAATGCAATATATATATATCCACACAGGGCTTGAAAAATCCGCCCGTCCTCTCGTCTGTGACGAGAGGACGTCGGACCTGGATGAGCAGCTTCCCGGCCGGCCGTTGTAATTAAATGGCCAGTCGGAAGCTTTCCATTCAAGCGATCAGGATTTATAAATCTTGCACACTGGGTGAATACAAGCAATCACCTATGCTCCTCGGCTCCATCCAGTGGGGGGAAAATTGTACGAACAGCATTCGCCCAGCATATAGCTGGGTGGAAGATTTCTAAATCGGCCCCCAAGTAGTTGTAAAGATATGTACAGTTCATCAAACACATGCTAAAGTTGCAAAATGGAGTTCAGTACAGTACAGGGGGTTGTGTTTGGCTGGGTGAGAGTGCAGGGTGGTTGGAGGGGGTGGCTGGGTGAGAGTGCAGGGTGGTTGGAGGGTGTAGCTGGGTGATAGTACAGGGGGTTGTGTTTGGCTGGGTGAGAGTGCAGGGTAGTTGGAGGGGGTGGCTGGGTGAGAGTGCAGGGTGGCTGGGTGACAGTACAGAGGATTGTGTTTGGTCTGGGTGAG